ACTTTTTTCTGAACAACGATTTCACCGTTGATTCGAGTTCAAATCGTTATTTTGGTTTGTTAGCTTGTCTGGGTGGTGTAGTTGGTTATCACGCTAGTCTCACACACTAGAGGTCCTCAGTTTGAACCTTGGCTCAGACATGTTTAGAATTATGTTTTTACTTTTTCTTGAACAATGATTTCACCGTTGATTCGAGTTCAAATCGTTATTTTGGTTTGTTAGCTCGTCTGGGTGGTGTAGTTGGTTATCACGCTAGTCTCACACACTAGAGGTCCTCAGTTTGAACCTTGGCTCTGACATGTTTAGAATTATGTTTTTACTTTTTTCTGAACAACGATTTCACCGTTTATTCGAGTTCAAATTGTTATTTTGGTTTGTTAGCTTGTCTGGGTGGTGTAGTTGGTTATCACGCTAGTCTCACACTAGAGGTCCTCAGTTTGAACCTTGGCTCAGACATGTTTAGAATTATGTTTTTACTTTTTTCTGAACAACGATTTCACCGTTGATTCGAGTTCAAATCGTTATTTTGGTTTGTTAGCTTGTCTGGGTGGTGTAGTTGGTTATCACGCTAGTCTCACACACTAGAGGTCCTCAGTTTGAACCTTGGCTCAGACATGTTTAGAATTATGTTTTTACTTTTTTCTGAACAACGATTTCACCGTTGATTCGAGTTCAAATCGTTATTTTGGTTTGTTAGCTTGTCTGGGTGGTGTAGTTGGTTATCACGCTAGTCTCGCACACTAGAGGTCCTCAGTTTGAACCTTGGCTCAGACATGTTTATAATTATGTTTTTACTTTTTTCTGAACAACGATTTCACCGTTTATTCGAGTTCAAATCGTTATTTTGGTTTGTTAGATTGTCTGGATGGTGTAGTTGGTTATCATTCTAGTCTCACACCTAGAGGTCCTCAGTTTGAACCTTGGCTCAGACATGTTTAGAATTATGTTTTTACTTTTTTCTGAACAACAATTTCACCGTTTATTCGAGTTCAAATCGTTATTTTTGTTTGTTAGCTTGTCTGGGTGGTGTTGTTGGTTATCACGCTAGTCTCACACACTAGAGGTCCTCAGTTTGAACTTTGGCTTAGACATGTTTAGAATTATGTTTTTACTTTTTCTTGAACAACGATTTCACCGTTGATTCGAGTTCAAATCGTTATTTTGGTTTGTTAGCTTGTCTGGGTGGTGTAGTTGGTTATCACGCTAGTCTCACACACTAGAGGTCCTCAGTTTGAACCTTGGCTCAGACATGTTTAGAATTATGTTTTTACTTTTTTCTGAACAACGATTTCACCGTTGATTCGAGTTCAAATCGTTATTTTGGTTTGTTAGCTTGTCTGGGTGGTGTAGTTGGTTATCACGCTAGTCTCACACACTAGAGGTCCTCAGTTTGAACCTTGGTTCAGACATTTTTATAATTATGTTTTTACTTTTTTCTGAACAACGATTTCACCGTTTATTCGAGTTCAAATCGTTATTTTGGTTTGTTAGATCGTCTGGGTGGTGTAGTTGGTTATCATTCTAGTCTCACACACTAGAGGTCCTCAGTTTGAACTTTGGCTCAGACATGTTTAGAATTATGTTTTTACTTTTTCTTGAACAACGATTTCACCGTTGATTCGAGTTCAAATCGTTATTTTGGTTTGTTAGCTTGTCTGGGTGGTGTAGTTGGTTATCACGCTAGTCTCACACACTAGAGGTCCTCAGTTTGAACCTTGGCTCAGACATGTTTAGAATTATGTTTTTACTTTTTTCTGAACAACGATTTCACCGTTGATTCGAGTTCAAATCGTTATTTTGGTTTGTTAGCTTGTCTGGGTGGTGTAGTTGGTTATCACGCTAGTCTCACACACTAGAGGTCCTCAGTTTGAACCTTGGCTCAGACATGTTTAGAATTATGTTTTTACTTTTTTCTGAACAACGATTTCACCGTTGATTCGAGTTCAAATCGTTATTTTGGTTTGTTAGCTTGTCTGGGTGGTGTAGTTGGTTATCACGCTAGTCTCACACACTAGAGGTCCTCAGTTTGAACCTTGGCTCAGACATGTTTAGAATTATGTTTTTACTTTTTTCTGAACAACGATTTCACCGTTGATTCGAGTTCAAATCGTTATTTTGGTTTGTTAGCTTGTCTGGGTGGTGTAGTTGGTTATCACGCTAGTCTCACACACTAGAGGTCCTCAGTTTGAACCTTGGCTCAGACATGTTTAGAATTATGTTTTTACTTTTTTCTGAACAACGATTTCACCGTTGATTCGAGTTCAAATCGTTATTTTGGTTTGTTAGCTTGTCTGGGTGGTGTAGTTGGTTATCACGCTAGTCTCACACACTAGAGGTCCTCAGTTTGAACCTTGGCTCAGACATGTTTAGAATTATGTTTTTACTTTTTTCTGAACAACGATTTCACCGTTGATTCGAGTTCAAATCGTTATTTTGGTTTGTTAGCTTGTCTGGGTGGTGTAGTTGGTTATCACGCTAGTCTCACACACTAGAGGTCCTCAGTTTGAACCTTGGCTCAGACATGTTTAGAATTATGTTTTTACTTTTTTCTGAACAACGATTTCACCGTTGATTCGAGTTCAAATCGTTATTTTGGTTTGTTAGCTTGTCTGGGTGGTGTAGTTGGTTATCACGCTAGTCTCACACACTAGAGGTCCTCAGTTTGAACCTTGGCTCAGACATGTTTAGAATTATGTTTTTACTTTTTTCTGAACAACGATTTCACCGTTGATTCGAGTTCAAATCGTTATTTTGGTTTGTTAGCTTGTCTGGGTGGTGTAGTTGGTTATCACGCTAGTCTCACACACTAGAGGTCCTCAGTTTGAACCTTGGCTCAGACATGTTTAGAATTATGTTTTTACTTTTTTCTGAACAACGATTTCACCGTTGATTCGAGTTCAAATCGTTATTTTGGTTTGTTAGCTTGTCTGGGTGGTGTAGTTGGTTATCACGCTAGTCTCACACACTAGAGGTCCTCAGTTTGAACCTTGGCTCAGACATGTTTAGAATTATGTTTTTACTTTTTTCTGAACAACGATTTCACCGTTGATTCGAGTTCAAATCGTTATTTTGGTTTGTTAGCTTGTCTGGGTGGTGTAGTTGGTTATCACGCTAGTCTCACACACTAGAGGTCCTCAGTTTGAACCTTGGCTCAGACATGTTTAGAATTATGTTTTTACTTTTTTCTGAACAACGATTTCACCGTTGATTCGAGTTCAAATCGTTATTTTGGTTTGTTAGCTTGTCTGGGTGGTGTAGTTGGTTATCACGCTAGTCTCACACACTAGAGGTCCTCAGTTTGAACCTTGGCTCAGACATGTTTAGAATTATGTTTTTACTTTTTTCTGAACAACGATTTCACCGTTGATTCGAGTTCAAATCGTTATTTTGGTTTGTTAGCTTGTCTGGGTGGTGTAGTTGGTTATCACGCTAGTCTTACACACTAGAGGTCCCCAGTTCGAACCTGGGCTCAGACATTTTTAAAATTATGTTTTTACTATTACCTGAACAACGATTTCACCGTTGATTCGAGTTCAAATCGTTATTTTGGTTTGTTAGCTTGTCTGGGTGGTGTAGTTGGTTATCACGCTAGTCTCACACACTAGAGGTCCTCAGTTTGAACCTTGGCTCAGACATGTTTAGAATTATGTTTTTACTTTTTTCTGAACAACGATTTCACCGTTTATTCGAGTTCAAATCGTTATTTTGGTTTGTTAGCTTGTCTGGGTGGTGTAGTTTGTTATCACGCTAGTCTTACACACTAGAGGTCCCCAGTCCAAACCTGGGCTCAGACATTTTTAAAATTATGTTTTTACTATTACCTGAACAACGATTTCACCGTTGATTTGAGTTCAAATCGTTATTTTGGTTTGTTAGTTTGTCTGGGTGGTGTAGTTGGTTATCATTCTAGTCTCACACACTAGAGGTCCTCAGTTTGAACCTTGGCTCAGGCATGTTTAGAATTATGTTTTTACTTTTTCTTGAACAACGATTTGACCGTTGATTCGAGTTCAAATCGTTATTTTTGTTTGTTAGCTTGTCTGGGTGGTGTAGTTGGTTATCACGCTAGTCTTACACACTAGAGGTCCCCAGTTAAAACCTGGGCTCAGACATTTTTAAAATTATGTATTTACTATTACCTGAACAATGATTTCATCGTTGATTTGAGTTCAAATCGTTATTTTGGTTTGTTAGCTATTCTGGGTGGTGTAGTTGGTTATCATTCTAGTCTCACACACTAGAGGTCTTCAGTTTGAACCTTGGCTCAGACATGTTTAGAATTATGTTTTTACTTTTTCTTGAACAACGATTTCACCGTTGATTCGAGTTCAAATCGTTATTTTGGTTTGTTAGCTTGTCTGGGTGGTGTAGTTGGTTATCACGCTAGTCTCACACACTAGAGGTCCTCAGTTTGAACCTTGGCTCAGACATGTTTAGAATTATGTTTTTACTTTTTTCTGAACAACGATTTCACCGTTTATTCGAGTTCAAATCGTTATTTTTGTTTGTTAGCTTGTTTGGGTGATGTAGTTGGTTATCACGCTAGTCTCACACACTAGAGGTCCTCAGTTTGAACCTTGGCTCAGACATGTTTATAATTATGTTTTTACTTTTTTCTGAACAACGATTTCACCGTTTATTCGAGTTCAAATCGTTATTTTGGTTTGTTAGCTTGTCTGGGTGGTGTAGTTGGTTATCATTCTAGTCTCACACACTAGAGGTCTTCAGTTTGAACCTTGGCTCAGGCATGTTAACATGTTTAGAATTATGTTTTTACTTTTTTCTGAACAACGATTTCACCGTTGATTCGAGTTCTAATCGTTATTTTGGTTTGTTAGCTTGTCTGGGTTGTGTAGTTGGTTATCATGCTTGTCTCACATACTAGAGGTCCTCAGTTTGAACCTTGGCTCAGACATGTTTAGAATTATGTTTTTACTTTTTCCCAAACAACGATTTCACTGTTGATTCGAGTTCAAATCGTTATTTTGGTTTGTTAGCTTGTCTGGGTGGTGTAGTTGGTTATCACGCTAGTCTTATACACTTGAGGTCCCTAGTTCAAACCTGGTCTCAAACATTTTTAAAATTATGTTTTTAATATTTCCTGAACAACGATTTCACCGTTGATTCGAGTTCAAATCGTTATTTTTGTTTGTTAGCTTGTCTGGGTGGTGTAGGTTGTTATCACGCTAGTCTCACACACTAGAGGTCCTCAGTTTGAACCTTGGCTCACTCGGTGGTGTAGTTGGTTATCATTCTAGTCTCACACACTAGAGGTCCTTAGTTTGAACCTTGGCTCAGACATGTTTAAAATTATGTTTTTACGTTTTCTTGAACAACGACTTCACCGTTGATTCGAGTTCAAATCGTTATTTTGGTTTGTTAGCTTGTCTGGGTGGTGTAGTTGGTTATCACGCTAGTCTCACACACTAGAGGTCCTCAGTTTGAACCTTGGCTCAGACATGTTTAGAATTATGTTTTTACTTTTTTCTGAACAACGATTTCACCGTTGATTCGAGTTCTAATCGTTATTTTGGTTTGTTAGCTTGTCTGGGTGGTGAAGTTGGTTATCACGCTAGTCTCACACACTAGAGGTCCTCAGTTTGAACCTTGGCTCAGACATGTTTAGAATTATGTTTTTACTTTTTTCTGAACAACGATTTCACCGTTTATTCGAGTTCAAATCGTTATTTTTGTTTGTTAGCTTGTCTGGGTGGTGTAGTTGGTTATCACGCTAGTCTCACACACTAGAGGTCCCCAGTTCGAACCTGGGCTCAGACATTTTTTCAAATTATGTTTTTACTATTTCCCGAACAACGATTTCACCGATGATTCGAGTTCAAATCGTTATTTTTGTTTTAGTGTGTCTGGGTCGAGTTCAAATCGTTATTTTTGTTTTAGTGTGTCTGGGTGGTGTAGTTGGTTATCTTCTAGTCTCACACACTAGAGGTCCACAGTTCGAACTTGGGCTCACTTTTTCCTGACCAACGATTTCACTGTTGATTCGAGTTCAGATCGTTATTTAGATTTTTCAGCTTGTCTGGGTGGTGTAGTTGGTTATCATGCTAGTCTCACACACTAGAGGTCCCCAGTTTGAACTTGCGCTTAGACATTTTTAAAATTGATTTTTTTACTTTTTCCTGAACAACGATTTCGCTATTGATTCTCGTTATTTTGGTTTTGGTTTTCCAGCTTGTCTGGGTGGTGTAGTTGATTATGACGCTAGTCTCACATGCTAGAGGTTCTCAGTTCAAGCCTGGGCTCAGATATTTTTAAAATTATGTTTTTACTTTTTTCTTAACAACATTTTCATTGTTGATTCGTGTACAAATCGTTAGTTTGGAATCTCACCTTGTCTGGGTAGTGTAGTTGGTTATCACGCTAGTCTCACACACTAGAGGTTCTTAGTTTGGACCTGGGTTCGGACACTTTTTAAAATTATGTTTTTACTTTTTCCTTAACAAAGTTCAAAGAGGTTGATAAGAAACTCATTTGAAAAGCATAGTGTTAAAACGTAATAGAAAATGACCTACAAAACAAGAAACGCTAGAAATCGAGATAGTAACGAAGAAATACCGTTAGTCGAAGTCTCAAATTAGACCGAGTTTCTATATGACCTAGATGAGTGGCTACAATTAGTTGCTAGCCTAAGATAGGCTGTTCTACATATAAATACAGAATCACTTCCTGTGATTTTGGAAGTCACTGTAAATCTACAGAGAACAAGGACAAAGTTCACCTCTACCATGCTACTTCCTACACTACTATACATTCTAATGATTTACCTCATCGCTTTGAAAATACTACGAGTATCAACATCGACATCGAAGCCATAACCTTGAACCCCGAGGTTTCCCAAAACTTTAGTTTTTCGGATTCGGTAGTAGAACTAGCTCCACCTTGCTTTCCTGCCAACTGATCTCGAAGTTCCTTTATGGCTTTCTCCCGTCGCTCTCCAATCTGTTACGAACCAAATGCAGGTTAGTTTCATCTACAAGACCAACTCCTACATTATTTTTGTATGAGGGTTAGTAAGGAAGCCAGTTTTACAATATTGGTTTTATGGTCTAGGCTACTGTAACAGATCACGCCCCACCGTTAGTAGATATTGTCCGTTTTGACCCATTATGTATCGCCGTCAGCCTCATTTTTTTAAAATGCGTCTACTAGGGAGAGGTTTCCACACCCTTATAAGGAAAGAGGTTTTCACACCCAAAGTTTTGTTCCCCTCTCTAACCAATGTTGGATCTCACAATCCACACTCCTCCTTGGGAGCCCAATGTCCTCGCTGTCACACTGTCGATGTCTGGCTCTGATACTATTTATAATAGCCCAAGCCCACCGTTAGTAGATATTTGTCCGTTTTAACACGTTACGTATCGTCATGAGCCTCACGATTTTAAAACGTGTCTGCTCGGGAGAGGTTTCCACACCCTTATAAGGAAAGTTTCGTTCCTCTCTCCAACCAATGTGGGCCCAATGTTCTCGCTAGCACACCACTTGATGTTTGGCTCTAATACCATTTGTAACAGCCCAAGCCCACCGCAACCACCTTAGGTGCCCAACGTCCTCGCTGGTACATGTAACAGCTCAAGCCCACCACTAGCAAATATTGCCTGCTTTGGCCCATTACGTATCGCCGTCAACCTCATGATTTTAAAACACGTATGCTAGGGAGAGGTTTCTACACCTTTATAAGAAAAGTTTTGTTCCCCTCTCCAACCAATGTCTGGCACTGATACCATTTACCATTTGTAATAGCCCAAGTCCACCGCTAGCAGATATTGTCTGCTTTGGCCCATTACGTATCACCGTCAACCTCACGATTTTAAAACATGTCTACCAAGGAGATGTTAACACACCCTTGTAAGGAAAGTTTCATTCCCCTCTCCAACCACCAATGTGGGATCTCACAACCATGAAAGGTGGTCCAAAAACAATATCCCATCGAGCATCGAGCACCGAGCCAACAAATTTACGTTCAATGTAAGTCTTATCTACACTAAAGCTAATAAACCATCCAATTCTAAACAAATCAAAGTGTTTACCCTTTGAAGTTTTCGTGTTTGAGTGCGAGCTTCTTGCAGACAGAACTCCAGCTTCAACACCCTCTTCTTTAGTTCTTGGTCAGCTCGTCGTTGTTTCTCTAACTGTCGATAAGAATATCAAAATACATAAACGAACACAAAAACAATTCGAGAAAGTACACTATACGCAGTCGAGCCAAAGAAGTTTACATACTTGTGATTCCAACTCCTTGGTTTTCAGCTTCCAGTGAGCAGTCATTGTCTTGATTTCATTTCTTAATCTTGCTATCTCTTCGTCTTTTGCAATCAACAACCTATTGATCTTCACAACATTCTTGGGAGAAACCTCATCTAATATCTTCCTCAATTCACAATCCTTGCTCACACCAGATTTGGCTAGAGCTTCCATAATCTCATGCTCAACTCTCAACACTTCATCTTTCAGTTGCTTCTGAGACGATTCCCTTGCCACGAGATCTTTCTGTAGATCGTCGAGTTGTTCTCCCAACCTTTTTACACGATCTTCGTGCTCTTTTAAAGACGTGTTCTTTTCGTCTAGTTCCTTCAAAAGCGCTGAACACTGGTTCTGTGCTGATTGAGCTGAGGCAGCACTTGCATCAGCTGTTGCTTGAGTGGTGGCAAGCTGTAGTCTCAGTCCATCCAGCTCGTGGAGGTACTGCATTGAACAACATGTAGGTAACATTCATCGATAATGTACGTCGATAACACCTTAACGAATTTAAATAAGCCAAGCCTATGAAGGTAATAGAGAAGTGGTGTATTAATTACAAAAAGTAGGGAGGAATTATAAACAAGATAGCTCAAGAAAAGGAAGGCAGTGTTTGGTTGTTAGATACCATTCTTATTCAGGTAAAGACACGAGCAAAGTCTACATGTGACAGTCTGGGCTTGCCGATCTTGTCTTCTTTGAGCTTTCCCTTCCAGGTTTCACCTCAAGGTTTTAAAATGTGTTGGCTAGGGAGAGGTTTCTACACCCTTATAAAGAATGTTTCGTTCTCCTCTCCAACCGATGTAGAATCTCACAATTCACCCCCCTTCAAGACCCAACTTCTTCGCTGGCATTCATTCCCCTCTCCAATCGATGTGGGATCTCATAACCCACCCCCCTTCGGGGTTCAGCGTCCTTGCTAGCACACCGCCCAATATCTGGCTCTGATACCATTTGTAACATCTCAAGCCTACCGCTAGCAGATATTGTCCTCTTTAGATTTTCTATTTCGGGCTTCCCCTCAAGGTTTTTAAAATGCGTTTGCTAGGGAGAGGTTTCCACACCCTTATAAAGAATATTTCGTTCCCCTCTCCAACCGTTGTGGGATCTCACAGTCCACCCCTCTTCAGGGCTCAGCGTCCTCGCTGGCATACTACCCGGTGTTAACCCTAATACCATTTGTAATAGTCCAAGCCCGCTAGCAAATATTGTCCTAAAAAAAGTAACCAAATTGTACTTCCCCAACTTTCTTCCTACTAAAGAAGAAAGGAGGAAAACAGAGAGGGCAAAAGAAAAAGGCATTAAGGGAGGTGAGGCTTAGATGCTTGACCTTTTGGGAACTTTATTGCTCCAAACTGACCCATAAAGAGAAAAGTACAGCAATCACAACCAGAATATGATAGCCAAAAGCATCAATAAACAATACAACTTCAAAGGATCTAGGCAGGCCCCAGTTTATTACTTAATGAAAAGTTCTATAAGAAACAGATTTGGGATTCAAACCTTGGTGGCTGTATTTGCAGAAGTCTTGAGTTGTTCATCCTTCTCATCCAATTCCACATGCAATCTCCCAATTTCTCGTTCCATAATCATAGTCTTAGCCTCTGCTTCCTGAAAAAACACCTCAAAACATCACTCGAACTCGAAATCCCATCAAACCCACAAGAAAACAACGCCTAAAACGAGGTTTATTGAGTCAAAAGCTTCAAAGAAAACACCCAAAATCACATGCCTGCCTTGTTTGAGCCTCTTTGACAAACGATTCTTCTTGAGAAGAAAGGCGATTTCGAGCCTCCTTTAACTCCGCCGCCAACGACACAA